AAACGTGTTGTTATGCGTTCTTCAGAGCACTGGATGATGGACAAAGTCCATAAACACAGTAATAACAAAAATAAAAGTTAAACCCTGAAACCGGAATAAAGAGTTGCACAAAATGGTTTTGTGAAGTGTCCATCTAAGGGCCAGAATTGTCCAAAAAACATCAATGGGCACCGTATGTTTTGGAGGAAACTTACAGATCAGTATTTCAGTCATTGAACGAGAAACTATACTCAAATGCATTCACCTTGGTATCCATCACAGTAAATACATCACAGCAATAACCGTAGTTGACCAATTTGCTATGAATACCTGAATAAAACGAATCCTACACTAAGTTTATACTGTGAATTTTTTCTTTGCTTCTTCACTGCTGTACCATAAAAATTAAATACTTTTCTGATGCTCTACAGGTTCCATAATTTAGAGAACTATAGGGGAGCAATACATATACAATCTTGAAGGCCATGACTGCTCTGTAAGTTAAAAAAAATTACAATGTGTTATTGCATAATTTTTCCTCTTAAATCATAGTGTACTTCTGGAAAATATTAAATTTGGGACTTAACATACACAGATAACAGTTCAGGCTAAAATATCCTACAAAGAGATTATCGTCTTTTCAATGTTGAATCATTTTAAAAGAAAAATGGTCACTCAAAAACAAAATAAGGTAACTTTTAGAAGACAAAGTTTCTCTGATGCTGCAGTTTCATCACTGGATTCAAATTTCAACTTGATTTCAGTAACTGCAATAAGACCTGAAAACAGTGTCTTTACAATGCTGTATAAGCATTCTCTTATTTACATACTTTTAGGATTCAGGAAGACCTGAGTCAGTTCACTTAGCTCAAACCTCCATCAATACACATCCAAAGTCTCAAAGCAGTTCAATAATCTATAAAACCACCTCATCAAATAGCATACATTTCAATTGGAGCCTGGATACTCAGCATAATGAGATATGGGCTGGATGGCTGTGGTTTGGTTCCTGGAAGGGGCAAGAGTTTTCTCTTCTCCACAGTGTCCAGACTGGTTCTGGGGCCCAGAGGGTAAGACAGTCAGGTCATGAAGCTGAATGGCAAAACCACACAAAAGTTCTGTCAGAATAGCTACTGTTCTGGCCAAGATTTGAACTGGCACTTTGTGTAAACAAGTCAGAAGTGTTACCACTTTAACAAACTTCTTGCTAGGATTTATTATTGTTGGAATCACCATGAAAGAGCCAGATACATATGTAAATGAACAGACTGACAACAGAGAACTCCACTCAGACCAAGAAGAACAGTTTGCATCATACCATGATTGGTACTCCAATTTAAGTGTACAAATACATGATTTAGAAATAACCAAGATACATGATGTGTACGGAGTCCAGAAAACCAAGCCCAAAAGGTTACTGCCTAGAATGGGCCATGTAAGGTTCCTAAATAAATTCTGTTCATGGGGAAAAACAAGGAAGACAATCTATATGGAGACTTCATCACATCTAGAACTCTACATAATGTTACTGATCCTTCCACTAAGACGATAACATGACAGTCATGATTCAGTTCAGATTTTAACATCAACAAAATATGGATTTAAAATTTGTACTGCACAAATGGCATTCAGCTCAATAATAAACACAGGGCTTAGAAATAGGGGCAAGAAGGAGCAAATGTTAACAACATAAACAAGAAAGAACAAAGAATTTATGTCTTCCAGCACTCTGGAGACATAAAAATACTTTGGCAGAGAGGCCTGAGATGAATAAACCAAAATACATATAGAACATTAACTGTATAATTTAACTGCAGCTGTGTTTCACTGCAAACTGAGTTCTATGTATCTGACTGATAATTGAAAACATACAGACATGGTCCTGTCTTGATGCAGAGTTTACGATGAGAAGATTTGCTGAGTTTTAATAAATGTTGCCTTCCAGCAGCAAGGCACACACAGCTTCCATTTTACAACCAACCATTTTCTTTCCGAGTTATGAAAAGTGGGTAACATATGGAAGCCATGAGAAATAACAACTATAATGAGGCCATGTAAAGAAGTCACATAGATCAACCCCACAGGCACCTCCTTCAAGCTCTTACATTTCCCACTCGTGTCCTTCAGTATCTTCCCTTCTAGTCATCACACCGTTCTGCCCACATGAATGTGAGTCACAATGATGCAATAACCCTTGTTAGTAACAACTACTTGTGGCTGGTTGACATAGGCCAGAGGAAATGGGCATGGTAGACAAACAGTGGGAAGCCTTGAATACTGTCATCTTCTCTATCTATGAAACTTCCATCCATGGTCTCAGTATAATAGTTCTACACTTCTTGAAACCTTCCACAACTATGGCATCATCATCTGAGAAATATAGGCAAAAATAAATCTGTCCTTATGAAAGAAGCCAAAAGCTAGAGGATTGCAGTTTTATATAGCAATTTCTGCATTTTCATTTTTTATGAATGAGTGATGTTTTTATGAATAAATGTTACACATTTAGAGCATATTCCACAATCTCTTGCTTGTCTCATCTGACCACTAAGGATGGTAAATCTTGTATTTGTAAACCATGGTTACAGTGCCTCCCTAGGGCAACTGATCAAGACTGATCATGACAAAACCTGGATCTCAAATGAAATCAATCCAGCCCAGTTCACATCTTCCATGTAGCCCAATTAACTTAATATTATGCACAGACTTTGTCACAGCTGACAGTCATCTGCATATCATAAACCATCTGGTAACAAGAAGGGGACCTATAGATCGAGTTGCAACAGTTCTAGTATGTCTATCATTTTGTACAACATGGAAGACTAGAAAAAAAGATATTTACTTGTGTGGTAAAACTAAGGTTTCACTCTTCACCACTGAATAGAAGTCTTTTAACAGATCTTTAGTACAGCAAATAATTGAATTTCATAAGCCTTTACTTCCATTTCTAAACAGCTGAAAGCCTAAGACTGAAAAGTGCAATAAACAAAAAGAGAATGAATCTATATAAACACAATTACGAAATACAAAAGGTAATTCCTCATATAACAGAGAAGAAAAGCTGATGAATTTATACAGCAGATATTGTAAACACTGAGTCTAGGTGAGTTGGCCCTCTTGTAGAGTTATGACGGTACAACATGCGCTTGATTACAGGTCGTATATGAACTGCAGAGAGCAGGGCTGGAGAAAGCCTAAATTCCCCCCTCCCCAAATTGTCTCAAAACTGTCATGAATCATAACTAGGAATTTCCAGACACAGGAGGGGGACCATCACTGTTGTTATAATTTTTAAACAAGTTTCATTTATGTTGTACAACATATTTAGATTACTGCCAATTTATGGTCACAATATCAACAAGATCAGCAGAAACTAATTTTTGTTAAGCAAAAGGGCAGTAAAATATGCCACAATTAAAGCCGTGCCACCCCACATGATTGTTTGGATTGCTGTTGCTACTGCACAGTGGCCCTGAAAATGATAGTGACAAATTTCTCTCTTAAAATAAAGTGTACAAAAAAGAGTAACTAAAAAAAAGTAAAGCTATCCCTGTAATATGCCTTGGAGGCCCATAGGGTTGTGGGACGGCGAAGGTCCCACATTATCTAGAAAATCAGCTCAAAGATGGCGGTAAGGTTGTCAGCCCTACGCGCCGGCCGCGCTTTACTCCCCAGGAAAATTATGTAATTAATTTCTGGTACTCATTTCTGTTAGAGGCTGAGTCAACCCCTGGGCCATAGTGCGGCTGGAAGGATTAAATCAACTTAAAAAAATCCAATGATCTCATCGGGACTTGAACCCGCGACCTTCTGGCTTGTAGCATAGTGTGAAGAAAGAAGAAGAGGGTAGATAAATGTAATAGAGAGAACTTTCTATTTACCACAGTATATAATATTCTTCATTATGCAACTAAAACCGAATATATAAAATGGTTCAATCTTCCAGAATTCAGTATCATAATTAATTATGGAAGGGCTCTCAAGAAGTGTACCACCTTCCTGCATCATACAACTGAAATACATGTAAATCTGCACAATAACTTATGCAGAACGTATGAGTGGAATGCAACATTTCCAGCCATGCTGAAACACATAGTACATCCTACAGTCATAAAGTTGGTTTCTTTAATTTCATAAAATGAAACATGCTTCTTAAATGAACTGCAATCTGAAAAGAATTTGTGACATTATACCACAGCTGTACATGTTTACGTACCGAAGTTGAACATAAAGATATTGCAATGAGGGCAACATGAAAACCAGTAACACAGCAAACTGCAAAATTTTTAATTGGTTATTGTCTGGCATTACTCTATGCTTGAACAAAGCACCTAACACCTTTACAGTCAAACTACTGCTCTCACACATATTTTCCAGTAACACATACATACCTACTGTGACAAGTTATGAAGCTTTTCTTTCTTTGGAAAAGATAATGGAAAGTATTTGATTAAAATTAAGATACTTTTATGCAGAATGCATTACGAAGTTCTAAGAGATATTTATTAAACTATTCAACAGATTGCCCATAACCATTCAAAGCCTTAAAGAGGACAGAATTAGTTTAAAAAAAAACTGTCTTTATATCTTAGGAATAATTCCTTTTATACAGTTTCTGAATATGTGGAGCATAACATAAACAATTAGTTTTAATTATTCTGTTATCTGTGTGTTTGTTTTTTTTTTTTGATATGATGACCTTCATGTCCATTTGGTTTGGACTTATGTAAGGAAATGTATGTATGTAATATCATGGTAAAATATGGTTAAATATTTAATATGTGAGTCTAATCGATTTCCCCAGATTATATCTTTTGTGACATATTTATTATTTTGCATATAGAACAACAGGCTGCGCCATAGCTCAAGCGGTTAGTCGCTGGCTTCCCAGGTTCGATCCCGGGACTGGTCAATTGGGATTTGTGGTGGACAAAGTGGCACTGGGGCAGGTTTTCTCTGAGTACTTCGGTTTCCCCTGCCAATCTTCATTCCACCAAATTATCCATCATCATAATCACACAGGGCAGGCTACAATAGGCCAATTAGTGGCCGCCATGCCGAGTGGACCCAGTTGGACTCCACCCCCCCCATGAGCGAGAAATATAGAACGACAGAACGGAAGCATACTAGCATCTGGTACGTGCTGCAGTGCAGTACTGTAAAAGTTTCTTGACATTTCAGAGGACACATGCTGCCTCCAACTTCACAGTTAAAGAGTAAGTGAAATAAACATAGTATTCGGCTTGCTGCCTGCCTGATTTACTTTTCAACCCTGAAGAAGGTGGTGGTACTTTCCTCTAGAAAATCAGTAAACTTCAACCATGCTACATGCTGTCATATTCTAGAGACAGTACTCTTCATAGTCACCGTCATGACAACCTAAAATCTCACTAAGACGTGGCTGTCTTAGAATGCATTATTAATTTGCACAAGACATGTAAGTGGCTATAAACCTACCAGCTATTTATAATGTTGCTCTCATTCCATCTTAAAATGAAACAATTTTATGTTCATAATTTTTTAAAGTGACATGTAGGAAGTACTAAGATCTCCACAGTTAAAAAAATTTAGTAAGCGTAGTAAAAGTTACCAGTCTAATAACATAACGAGTGGTCTGCAGGATACTATTACTGACCTATGAGTTTTATAGCCCTCATTCATTTACAGATAACCATATTTTTCTTGTGGTTGTCTACTTATTTGTGATGAATTTTTCATTGCCATAGGACCACAAAACTGCCTTTCCACAGCCCCCCCCCAATCCTGAACAAGATGTGCACACCTTAACAATGAATGAGCTGTAGAGATCATCACACACTCATGGCATACTGTTTGAAATCATAAATCATTTTATGTAAAGGAGGTATGACACCATGGTAATGGAAGAGCATTAGCTGAGAATGGCAACATAGCAGGATATGGACTGTCTGACACAAAAGGATGGAAGATGTAAGAGAAGAACATGAAGGAGAAGGTCACCGATGTGTGTTCCGCCTCAGTCGCCCAGTTGGTTCATTACTAACAGCCATGGACACTGTTCCAGACTGTGACGCCTGCTGCTGTTCTGTCATACGATCCAGTTCGAGCATAGCTTCTTGAATTGCGTTCTCTAGCTGGCTGTTTAGTTTACGGCTCCTGAAAATCCAAATTCACATGAAATTAGTACACATAATTCCATTTCACAAACAAATATAAAACAACATATTATGTGAATAAATCATCTAACTTTTATTACACCCTGATTGAAAAAAAAAATTAATACAGTAAATTTGCTCCTGAAACGTCTAATTTTAAACTGCATGTGAGGTGTGCAACATCAGCTTTACTGAGAATAATGAGAAGGGTCTTGATTTTTGATACAGTATCTATCATTGTGACTACAGTAAATTATCAGATGATCATAACAATAAAATTATAATATCAATCACAAATTAAATTACATAAAATTACACTGTCTTATGTGCATTCATAATATAAGTCGCAGCTGAAGTAGAAACCACTTGTACTACTGCTCAGGTACTGCACAGGCAACATACTGTCTTGCATGTTGTAACTGGAAGAGATTTTCTTCAGCCCCCATAGGTCTTTAAGGGAGAACTGTTAAGAGAACTGCTTCTGAAATATTTGTAGTATTGCAGTCATTAAAAAAATTACAGAAAATTAACATGAATAAAAGTAGTAGCATAGTTGGTTGAGGCACTGTGCTACAAGGTAGTGGTTTCGATTCACAATGAGGTCACTGGATTTTTCAATTGACCTCATCCTTCCAGCCACACTATGTCCCTGGGGTCGACTCAGCCTCTAACAAAGATGAGTACTAGGAATATTCCTAGGGGCAAAGGGCAGCAGGTGCATAAGGCTAACAACCACACCATCATCTGTGAGCTGACTAGATAATTTGGGAGCCTCGATCTCTCACAACCCTACAGGCCTCCACAGCCTGTTACAGGGATACTTACCTACGTACCTACCTACCTACCTACCTACCTACCACAAAAAAAAAAAAAAGAAAAGAAAAAAAAAACTGCCATATTAATGCATTTCTAAATGTTATAAGACATTAATTTCAATAGCTATTCTACGATCATAATATGCATACTGATTAAACTGAAGCTGGTCACTTCACTGAATTAAGATATCATATTAACAATACTGATGTGGAAAGCAAATGGAAAAACTACCACATTATCACTTTCTCTGGATAGTCTCTTTCCAAAAACAGAAGATCACATTAAGTGGAGGAACTGTTTCGGAAGAGACTGTGGACCTGTCATCTGACAGTTACTGATCAATCAATTAACAATACTGTCACAATATAATAGTATTCAACTGCCTCTGACATCCAGTAGCTAGTTAACCTAAATTATGTATATATTAAAGAACTTTCAACATTCCTTCTCAAAAATAATGATGGAGAATTTTCACAGTAAGAAAAATAGGAGTATTACCATTAATTGGGTGAACATTTAAATAACAGACACCCAATTAGTTCAGTACCTGTGACAGTAATTATTTTACTCCTAATATCTATTAACGTGGGCTAATCAATGTTTTTTTTTTTTTTCATTTTAATATAGCTGAACAGTTCATGTGTGGCTAGGTTAGCTAACCTTCAGAGTTCCATGGGAAACAACAGGCAGAAAGCATCTTAACTTTTCGCAGCTGCCAACAAAATTCTAATCATGTAGTGGTCAGCAGAAGAAAATGCCTAAGGTCAAATACTTGATCTGTTTGGTATTCTGTTTAGTCTGTGGTTTAAAGATGATTGAGCTGGCTAGAGAATGGTAACAATTTCTTTTTCCAAAGTCATACGACAGAACAGCTGGAAACTGCATTTAAAACCTGCAATGTAATGAGTAATGTTCCCTTATTGGGGGGGGGGGCGGAACTGGCTATCCTTAACTAATATCTGTAGTAGAAGAAGCAAATATTAAATTTCCCATATGGGGGGACCCTGTATTTTATACTGGTACCTTGTACAAGAGCCAAAATAACTGTTTCTGCTCTTATGCAACATCTGTATGCGAAATTCACAACACATTACAAAACAGATATGCTGTCCACTGGGCTGGTGCAAGAGGTGGTGATGAAACTTGTATACGCTATGTGTAACATTAAAATAAATATGAGTGTGAAGTTTCGGATGTTATATTGAGCCAAAAAATAATGTGACATCGCCGATGAAGTGTAAGGCAAAGCTGACTCACTTCCTGAATTTCTTCCTTGCTCGATGGTGTGCCTCAAGCCCTTCTGACAATGTCTTCAGGGACTGCAATGGGACCTGGGTGAGGGCTCGATCACCTCCAAACCAGCGCACCCAAACTTTGTCCCCATCGGCGACAGGTCCCACCAGCTTTCCAGGCCACGCAGGAAATCCCCGGGCTGCCCCCCAGACAAGGTCACCTTCGGAAAGGCCCCCAGACCCTTCCTCCGCAACACTTTCTGTATGTGCAACAACCGTGGTCCATAGTCAAGACTCGCTAATGCCCATGTTAGAGTCTGAGCAAGCGAGTTGAGATTCTTGCAGTGAATGGGTTTACAGAGAGAGAGAAACTCTGTCGGACAACTATTCTTAATTGCTGTCTACTTCTTCCACTATCAGAGTTCTAGAAATTTCAAGCAAACAGCAAATAAAAATGGAAACCGATTTATCTTCAAATCTTTTCAAGTCTTCCAACTCCTTTGTATTTGTAAGTGAAATTTGAGTTCCCTAAGCCCTGCAATAGTAATTTTGATACTGATAATTTAAAGTGCAGAAACACAAAATTTGAGTCCTTGAGATACAAACATTCTGCATATGAATTGCTAATTTCTGTTCTGATTTATTTAGTTTTTCTTAGTTATTTCTCTGTGGATGTGTACTGTGCCCTCTAATGGTCACTTATAAGGTAAACTGTATATAATTTTATGAGTTAAACAGGCTTCCTTCATAAGCCTGTAAATTACATTATTTCTTATATGAAAAATGTACGTTGTGACTCAAGAATAACTTGACTTACAAATGGGGCTTTGGAACATAATCTGTTTGTAAGCCAAGGATCAAGTGTACTGCATAATGAACTTACACATGTGTGTAACAAAATGCAAACTGAGAATAATACCAAATTCTATCACTGACTGAAGCAAATGACTTATGATTGTGTCACTTATATACCAGTAAACTGTCATACTGACAAGTTCCATCTAAACATATGTATGGCTTTGACAAAAATTGTGAAACATATGTATGGCTTTGACAAAAATTGTGTTTATAACTATTACTTGAGAAACATGATAATTATGGGTAAGCCCTGTATATATTCAAAATATAATCGTTTCATGGCTGGAAACCATTTTTAACATACTGGTTTGTGCCCCTTATAAATAAAAATGATTTGGTTTGTAGACATTACTGCTACTCTAATATACACAGAAGATAAATATGTACCCTTTTAAAGTCTGAGACATTATGTAGAATAATGTTCATGAAAACAAACATAACATGACCTTGCACTGAAATTTAAATAATTTTTATCATTTCAAAAATGTATTTGCAAAATATCCAGCTATTCATTTCCAGACAAAGGAATTATTTATTGAGATGGACACATGTATAGTTTTTTAATTCTTAAAACATTTCCTAGCTATAATAATTCTCACGATCTTGTACAATAAATAATAAAGTCTTATTCTTACAAAACTTCAGTAGCACATATGTTTACTAATATATTAAGGACACCAAATGCAATGAGAAGACTTAAAAATATTATGAGAATCTCTCTCCCCACAGAGTTAGAGGATGAATGCCCATCTTCCTTTTAGCCCAGCAAACTGTTCGAACCCTTTCCCCACCCGGCCTCCACCGTGCTTGTCATTACACGCATTAGTTCAATCCATCCAAACCAAGCCGATCGCTTTGAGTAAAGGTATGATACTGTCCAACCAGCAGTGTACTGAGCCAGGAAACAAATATGAAGATGCGACGAGCAACAATCATCAACTAAATCCAATCCAATCCAATGCCAATAAATAGCTGTGGTAGTAGAGGTGTATACAAGTGCACATTCATGAAGGATGTTCAACCAAGCAAGCAATACTGAATAAGCAGCTTTCAAGCAAAACACAATTGGATTAGGGTATTCATTTGTAAGTCCTGATGATTTATGACTTTTCTTATTGAAACTAAAAGCAGAGAGGCAAATACCTGGTGGGACAACCTAATGCAATATAGTGTATCATGGGGATCTGCATGGGTACAGTGTAACATACACAATTTAAATTAGAATTCTGGAATTTTAATTAAATTATTATTACAGCTGTTGTTGTAGAATATGTATTGACATCCATAATTAAGCCTTTGGTGCATACAGTATAAAAAATGCATTCTTGCAGAGATCCCTACTTTATAGCGAAGAAAGGCACAATGAACCACTATGTTCATGTGTACATGTCAGTCTCCACTAATAATTTTCAAACCAAGTACTGGATTTTCATGAATATTTATGGCCACTGGAGGCCACCTTATTTTTATGCTTTATAATTTCTTAAAATTGGTAATGTCAATATAGGAAACCACAAATTAAGAACATGGCAACAGTGCAAATCTTTCAGGTTATGTGTGACAAATTTAAAAGTTCCTTCCAAGAAGTAAATAAATAATTTATACTAATACTGCTATGAATAAGTGAATAATAGGCCATATGCATTCAGAATGGAAAAGAAAAGAAAAACTGTATTCTCATATAGATGAACTATACCTTACCAGTCTTGACACCAACAATTTAGTTCTCAAGTGGCAAGTGGCTGTTGTTAAATTCTCACACACAATGCAGATAAAATTAATATCTTGGATATGGAAATCTGAAAGGATTTGTATTTTGTAAGACTGAGGGATGAATGTGGAGCTACTGACAAGCACTTTCATAGCACATTACTTACGAATAAAAAGCTACTTCTTTTCTTTAGTAAGAGCAGAGAAATTTGTGTTTTAAATAGATAATATGGCCCTAATTATTCAACAAATTAGGTTGTAAAGATTATGAGAAACTAAAGAAAAGTTGAATTTGATTTGTTTCATTCTGGTCCGTCACACTATTAAGTTTATTTCAGTCCAATGTGACATATAATGCTCTTCACCACTTCAGCACTTAGTTATCTAGTGAAGTTGTGAAGGCATTATATGTCACATTGGATTGAACTAAACTTAACTGTAAATATAAAGAAAAGTTCTATCTTCTGGGATAGATATAAAGCTGTTTAGTCTGGTGACAGTCAACTGTTTATGAGGAACATGCCGTCTGCATTTCCAGGGCTGAAGAGTATGGTTTTCCAGGTTGTAATGCCATGTAGTTTGGTTTGAGCCTAATGTTTTGGAGGAAAATATCACCTCCATCTTCAGGGCCAAAGAGTAAGCCAAGCAAAAAGACAGTGGAAGCAGGCAGTACACTTATTCCTCCAAAATGTATGGTTCTCTCAAAACTACATGGCACTAAAACCCAGACGACCATTCTCTTCATATTACTGCCATGAGAACATCAACTCCAACATGTGACTGAATATTTGATAGATTTATCAACTTTATTCTTTCATGCATTAGTCATTACTAACACATTTTCTCCTAGGAAGGAAGGTGTCAGTGTGTACACGCACATGCACACAAATCCAATTAATTCAAACCAAATCTAAGTTTATTATTTTCACGTTTTTAGTAAGACATATATTTATAACTGTGTTTTATGAAAGAATATGCCAGTACACCATACTGTTGCATACTATCAGAAGACAAAACTCTGCCTTTAATCAAACCCAAATACAGGGGAACATCATCTGCCCGTGCCCTCAATATTCCGCTTCCCATCTGCAGTGGTCCCCATAGAGGCAGTGTTCTCTCATAATTCTGCAATACTTCTGTGACAAAACTATTCTGTGGCCCCTGAAAAGGTTTTTTTTTTTTTTTCCAGATTGCCCCAGTCACTGAGACTATTAAAGTGGGTCAACTACACTGACATGCCAACATGAATCCTCATCATAAAAACATGTTCCTCCAAAACAGAGGTGTCCACTGATAAGATTACATGATGTCACAGCCTAGAAGTCCATAACATGAATAGATTCTGCCATTAAGATGTCAATTCTGATAATGCTGCTTTAAGAGCAAAACTTGCATTACTCCTTAAATATTATCTGCAGTACTGCTATCCCATAACTAACTTCATAATCACATATTCCTGGTCAGAGTTTCAATCACTGATATTATGTATGAGGGAGAGTCAGCAAACAGGTCATAAATGGATATAAAACATAAAACATATATTTGAGGCATGCGGTAGCATAGTTGGTTGAGGGGCTATGCTACAAGTCGGAAGGTGGCAGGTTCAAATCCCAATGAGGTCATTGGATTTTTTGCAATTGACCTAATCCTTCCAGCTGCACTATGGCCCTGGGGTCGACTCGGCCTCTAACAGAAATGAGTACCAGGAATTAATTAAATAATTTTCCTGAGGAGTAAAGCGCAGCCGGCGTGTAAGGCTGATAACCTTACTGCCATCTTTGAGCCGACTGTCTAGATAATGTGGGAGCCTCAACGTCTCACAACCCTATGGGCCTTTAAGGCCCATAGGGGATAGCTTTACTTAAAAACATGTGATATTTAAACCTGGGAAAAACATTTATTTCTCGACATATCCTCCACCAACATTGATACACTTGTCCCATCATTTAGCCATTGTGTTGAAACCCACAAAGCCTATTACATCCATTCCTGCTGTTTTACTTCCGTTTGTGATCTATATACTGACTCTTCCTCATATGAAGGTGTGAAAGGTAAGGACCATAATGTATTGTTTTGTATATCTTGCATGTATAAACAAGAAAATTGTGGTAAAATACAGGAAATTATACTGGAGGATGAGAATCAATTATCTTTAACATAAGAAACCAGAATTTAGGTTAAAACTTCATATTGTGGTAGAGTGTTCGATTAGCACAATAACTGCCACTATACTTTTTTTTATATCATGTTTGTCAAAGGTCAAATGACAGAAAACATATTGTACGTACACTACTGTGAATTATCACATACACTGACATTTGTTCCAGTATCCATTTGCCATAGCAGATACAATTCCTCATGTTTTCCAACCAAATTTTACGCATAACGTGGAGATGAAGTGATTACAGATTCCTTCTAGCAGAAGTTCAGTTACATCTTCGCAAGACCAAAACACCAGCTGTTTGATTTTCATGGAAGTTAACGTCATGTTATTCAGAAATGCTCTCAAGTTTTATGTTTTCTTAAAACTCAAGTGGCAAAATTTTGTAAAGAAAGCTTACAGAGAACATTCAACCCACAGTGGCCAATTTGCATGGGAAGTGAGAGAGGACACAGCAAAGCACAGTCATATAGTATCACGATAAATATTTCACATGCCTCCTCTATTCTCTGTGATCTTATGCTTATAGGC